TATAGAATTTTTACGTTTTAGTGCATTTACTTATATTGAAGAATTTTTTAATATTATTCAATTGAATATTAATAAACGACATCACTATTACAATTGTTGATTGCCAATGGTCAAAGTCTGCCCTAGTTGAAGTCTGATCTTGAATTCGCTACTGAACAAGAGGTGTCACAAATATAGCTCAAGGCTAGATAGCTAAACAGTGTTGAGTAATAGGATGGTGCAGAAATTGAGCCAGCTTAATATCATGCCAAGTGAGCAATAAATATTACAAATTTCTCGTCGTTAGGCAATATTCGGTACTTGATTTTATTTCAAGATTCTAAGGTGCACTTAAGTATCCATTATTATTATTTTTTTTAAATTTCATAAAACAGAGTTTGGGCTCCACAAATATTTTGGATTTGAGGTGGTCGTTAATTGGGCCTCGCCTTAAGTCTGTCCTGAGCTGAGGCCACGAGTCCTTGTAATTTATTATTATTATTATTTTTTAACTATCATACTTTATAGGAAAAAAATATTCAATATTCAGTTAATCTAAAATAGGAAAACAAAATGTGAAATTTTTGTTATAATCCAGTAAGGGGAACGAGTAAATTATCATTTATCAGTTTAATCTAGACCAGGAAAAATATTTAATTGAAACATATATAATAAATTGGAAACAATTTGTACAACTGCTATTATAATCTAATGCTGCAAACAACTTAAATATAAATTTAGAGCTTATTAGGTAGGAATTTTAATAATTAATTTTTTGATCGTTAGAGATAAAGTGAGTCCTACCTGTGATAGAAGAATTTCAAAATGACGGCTAGAATAGTGAAATAACTGTAAAAAAAAATTAATTTTAATTCGTTTAAAATCTAAACGAAACAAGCACTTAATTTATTCTCTAAATTGGAAATAAATTAATTATCCAGCTGTCAATCTAATGCATAATATAATACAGATTATGCTATTATTATTCTAATCTAATATAGGAAAAATATTTAATATCAGAACAAAATAAGTCCATATTTGGTGGAGATTAAAATATAAATTTTAATTTAAATCAAAGTCAACAATTCATTATAGTCAAACATTTCATGAAACCCACGACTTTTCAATTATATATTTAATCAAAATTTACTAAAAATCTAATTTTAATCCCCACCAAACAAATAGAGACGTATTCACTTAAAAATTGGCCTCCATTAATTTTTATTCTATTATATTTCAATTTTCTCTCTCCTATTTTCAATCACACAATCTTCCATAAAATAATATTACACGTAAATCAAAAGACTTTTTTTCTTTTTCAACCACTCATTTTAAAAAAAAAAAAAAATACTATTATTCTCATTTCCATTTCTACAAAATGGGAGGGCTAAAATTATATTGAATGGCCTGCACAAAGATTAATTAATCTGTATATCCTCTTTTTACTCTTACGAAAAGTTATTATTCCTACCTAATTGACCGATGACAGACTTAATCCAAACAATGAAAGGTTCATAGTGCCCTTTTCAAGAGCAAATTGACCCTTTGAAGTTTAAGGCTAAAATTGTCATTTCACTTTGCCACCCACCCTAATAATGCGATTAAATTAAGATAATCTAGAAACTGCCAGTGAAGCATAAAATTTGCCAATTTGAAGGACTCAACTATAAATAAAATAAAAAAGAAGGACCTATCTTAAAATGTTGAGAAAGCAGAATCATTCTGTCAATTACATTTTCAGCCCACAACATGCTTTAAAGAGAAACTTGATCCTTTGAAGTTTAAGGCCAAAACTGTCATTTCAACTTGTTGCCACCACCTTAAGTATGAGATTCAGATAATCAGGAATAAGATTATGAGAATGAGATCTAGATTTAGATAATCTGGAAATTTCCAAATTTAAAGGGCTCATTTATAATTAAACTAAAATCAAGGACCTCACTTGTAAGACTTGAGAAAGCGGAAATCCTCTATCAATTGACCATTTCAGCCCAAAATTACCATAACAAGCTACGTTTTGACCCGTTGAATTTGAAGGCCAAAGCTGTCATTTAACATTTGCCACCCACCCTAAGAGAATATGAAAATTTGGAACCGGCCAATCAAGCATTCAAGTTGAAATTCTCCCAAAGTTAAAGGACTGAGTTATAAATACACTAAAATAAAAGGACATCATTGAAAGGATTCTTAAGATTGCAATGACATTTTAGACCACAACTATTATAACAAACTCATACAATTACCATTAAATTTCAAACAATATCTCAAAAGGTAAGGCTATTCTCGTCATTTCAAATTACGTGGCGCTACCCAACAAAGTCTTAAAACGGAAAATTTGACTAATTATAAGGGCGAAAGAGCAAACTCTCAATTCTGAAACTGATATCTGCAACAGCCGCTTCCAGTCGACCACCGTTGCTTATCAAAAAAATCCAACAAATTCAGTACAAAATAAGAACGCAGAAAAGGGGTATCTTTTTTCCTGTTTCTGGTTCTTAGTTAACCTCTATGAATCTATTCGGTGATACATTGTAGACATACGTGAATTGTGTAAGGGTACTCTACGCAAGTGCAATTTGGGGTTTCCTTTCAATTTTGTGAAAGATTTCTGTTTTTCTTAACCCCTTTCCTGTTTTAATTGTGCGATTTCTGTATTAATTGAGTGCTGTTTTCTAAATTTTTATTGACCAATTCGTTCTTTTTTCTAGGTTTGATTAATATTTCAGAGGCAGAAGGGATTGAACAGTAGCACAACATGTCTCAGACAAATTGGGAAGCTGATAAAATGTAAGTTTGTGTGTGTGTGTTATCTCACAGTTCTATCCCTTCTACCTTTCTTCTTTTGATTATTATGTTTGTGGCTTTAATTTTATGTTTTCTATTAAGAATTGTGCTTTGGGTTTGTTTTTCTTGAAATTTTGTTCAATACCAAACGGCAGTTCTTGTCTTATTTGAAAATGCCTTTTCCTGGTTTATTTACCCATGTTTTTTTTTAACGCATTCTAGGGTTCTTTATGGCTTTACGGGATACTGGATGCAGTTTCCATGGCCTCAGATTTTACCTCATTAAAAAGATTTTTTTTTTCTTTGGGGCTGCATTTTAACTTTCTTAAAGGTCGTTGTTTTATTTTTATTTTGTTATCATATATATATATATACATATATATATATATATATGCCAAACTAGATGGTAGCCTGATCAAAGCCCAGATTGCGTGGTTGTTCGAACGAGGTATTTCTGCACCTTCTGATCAACCTGAACAACATATACGGATCCCTTCCACCCCTTTCCTTCTTACTTTCCTGAGTGAGGAAGGGAATGATGTCCCATGTTAACAGTAGCATCGATATCTCGGGTTAGTCACTAATCCTCTTTTCCATGCATGCCTGTCTAGTTACCAGCAACGCTTCCAAATGCCACTTCTTCCCGTCACATCCGTCTTCAGGACGACAGAAGTTCCATAATCGAAGTCGGGGCAGGAAGATTTTCTTAACTGGTTGGGTCTGGATTTGGCTATACTTGAATGTAGCCAGCAATGTTAGCTTCATATGAGGGCCTGGTCACTGTGACCCCCTTTGTGAGGAGGCACCCCTTCTCCCGAAGTTACGGGGCTATTTTGCCGAGCAAGCTGCTTTCTTATCTTAGATTATTTTTTATTTCAAAAAATCATATATAAATATATGTTTTTTTTTTTTTTTTAAATAGGAGTACTGCCTTTTAACTTGTGTGCTGGATTTTAAATCTTCTGATGGTGATTTTGGGGTTTCGTATTTTTCTCTCTTTGGAATAAACGAGATTGATATAGTTGCTGTTTATTTCAAATTTTTTTATTGTTGTGCCGTCTGGAGTCAAAATCTTTTCAGTGATAAATGCTACACTGTTTTATTTATTTATTTTTTTTGGACTTCTGATTTTAGGCTGGATGTCTACATCCATGATTATTTATTGAAGCGAGACTTGAAGGCCTCTGCTCAGGCTTTCCAAGCTGAAGGAAAAGTATCATCTGACCCTGTTGGTAAGCATTGAGAAAATATAATTGCAAGAGGATTTTAGCACTCCTTATCTGGAGTTCCATTTCATGTTAGAAATTATTATTTTTTATTTGTATGCGTGTGTGTTTTTTTTTTCTGGGTTTCAGCTATCGACGCGCCTGGTGGTTTTCTCTTTGAATGGTGGTCTGTGTTTTGGGATATATTCATTGCCAGGACAAATGAGAAGCACTCTGAGGTTGCTGCATCTTACATTGAGGTTGGTTGGAATTCTGAAAATGGGCCTTTACCAGTATTAATTTTCTTCTGATACTTTGTTTGGACCCGTGTTACAGAATTTAGTGGCTTCGGATGAATTGTATTTGAAATACCTTAACTTTTGATTGAAGATGAACAGGTTATCCATTTAATTTTTATGGGCACCTTTGATCGGTACTGCAATTTAGATGACTCATTAACTATTGGTTCACGTTTAGCTTCTAGGGTTGTACAGACTATCTTATATCTATTTTTTTTCCTTGTGATGCTTTGTTTGTAAGTCAAATTTTTATAACCTATACGAATAAACCTATATATATTGTTGCTGTTAACTTGAAAAAGAAAAAAATAAATAAATTAACTACCTTCTTTTCAAAGCTTTGTCCTAAGTCTGGATCTCAACTTGAACTTTTCTTAATGACAATGTTCAATAACCTTTTGAATAATTCTTTGAAACTAACCTATTATTATTCAATATTCATATATTTGTGCTTGGTCTTGCCATCTCTATGCAACCATTTTAACCCCCGAGTTAATTTTAACACGTGTAATATAGATGCTTGAACTCTTTNGTGCTTGGTCTTGCCATCTCTATGCAACCATTTTAACCCCCGAGTTAATTTTAACACGTGTAATATAGATGCTTGAACTCTTTCACTTTATGGGAAAACCATAGCCGAAATTTTTTTAAAGTCTTCTTGCCAATTATAGCTTTGGAATTTAGTCATTTCCTTCATCTATTTGCAAAATGCAGTCTCAGCTAATGAAGACGAGGGAGCAGCAGCAGCAGCAGCAGCAGCAACAACAACAACAACAACAACCTCATCAACCTCAGCATCCACAGCAGCAACTGCAGATGCAGCAGATGCTGTTGAGGCAGGCTCAGCAGCAACAGCAACAGCAGCAGCAGCAGCGGCGAGACAGCAGCCATATTCCAAATGGCACAGGTAATGGCATTATTGGAAACGAGCCTCTTAACAGACAGAATCCTGGCACTGCCAATGCATTGGCAACGAAGATGTACGAGGAAAAACTGAAGCTGCCAGTTCCGAGGGACTCTTTAGATGATGCAGCTATGAAGGTACAAGGTGCATGTAAGGGCATTAATAAGATCAATTCTTTGTTCAGTTGCTAACAACATATAATTTTTTCAGCAAAGATTTGGTGACAATGTTGGCCAGCTTTTGGATCCCAATAATGCTTCAATTATGAAATCAGCTGCAGCAACTGGATCACACTCTGGGTATGTTATATACGTTAGACATCCATGGATTTCATACCGTATGTGCTTTATCTTATGCAAAATGGTGCATGGGAGATGCTCCTTCCTTCTCTCATTGTGTTTGTGTGCGTGCGTGTATCCCATATATGTTTTGAGGGTGGGCGCATATTCTTGTCCTTCCTTCAAGTGAGTGGTACTGCCCTGTCTTCCTGTCATCGGTGGTTAGCTTTGCTGTTCCTTCTGTGTTGAGAAAGAACCTCATATGATGTGAAATCAAATGGACTTTTTTCCTTATATGTTTTATTGTTTATTTGATCATAGTTAATTTTGTTTTATCGAACGCTTCTTATCAGTGATTAAAATCTGTTTGCAGGCAAGTGCTGCATGGTTCGGCTGGTGGTATGTCACCCCAAGTTCAAGCTCGGAGCCAGCAATTTCCAGGGCCTACACCTGTATGTACATTCTCTCTCTTTATTCTCTTTTCTGATAGATTTTTTTCGTTACTTGTGTGGCCTTGTATTACTTCAAATGCTTCTCACTCATATATGTGAACAGGACATGAAGACTGAAATGAATTCGATGACTAACCCTAGATCTGCTGGCTCAGAAGGATCGCTAATTGGGATCCCTGGTACTCAGTTTATCCATCTTTATATGCAAATAATCTCTATTTTGTATGGATCAATTTCATTGATCCATACCTGGGGTCAATGAATACATTTATTGGTTTTGCCACTCAGTGTTTGCAGTAAAGCAAAATCTGCACATTTTTCTAAGTAAGATCTTAGTTTGACATTATAGAAGGATATAATTCCACACCGAACAGAATCAGAGTATTGTGGTGGCTCGTGTTGTCATTATTTTGGTTAATTTGCCAGGTCTAATTATAACAATTCTGGTTGTTTTAGGGTCAAATCAAGGTGGCAACAATTTGACATTAAAAGGATGGCCGCTAACTGTAAGTGAATTATGTCTTCAGATGCTCTGATCACCTTGTCAATATGGATGAGCAATTATAAAATTATAATAATTATTATTATTATTATTTTTTGGTGGACTTGTAATCTGTGGCTTCATACTGGCAAAGCTTTTAATCTTTGTTGGCACTCTGGACAAGCATTGTGTTAAGGGTATTTTGTATCCAATACTTATAGTGCTTTTCTGATGATAAATAACTTGTATATTAACATAATTCAGTTTATGTGGACTGGAGTGAGTAGTTGACCTCAATATGTGGCTTAAATAACCATGGGCTTTTTTGTCCTTGTTAATTAAGATTAAAGAGGTTTGGCTATGGCACTGTGAATCCCCCCCCCCCCCCCCCCCCCCCCCCCCCCTCTCTCCCTCCCTT